AGTATAAAAAGAAAATGATTGGAAAAAAATCAAATTATAATTTTAAAAATAATTTTACAGTATTTAAAATAAATATGTGAAAAAGGTTTTTTTTTTTACTTGTATAAAAATATTTTTTGTGTTTTCCAAACACTCCTTTCATATGAGGCTTCAACTTTGCAAGTATACCCCAAAAATAAAACGATGTTTAGCATAGAAGATTGACTCGTCCATTTTATGAGGAAAGTTCCTCTGAAGGTTAACTATCTCTTCTTTGGTCAATGTCACTTGGTTGCATCGACTTCGTAGTGAAATGTATAAAAATATGGAGGCCTGGATCTCATCACTAGGCATATACTCATTGTGAGCTGAAGGCTAGTGTTAGAACATTATATTTTACGGCAGCTCATAATAAATTATAAATTTATAATTAAACAGATTATTATTATTAATTATAACTATGTTTTCACATACATATTAATATTTTTGCCCGCTATGACAACTTTTTTATTTTCCAAAACAGCGAATTTTAATAAGTGGCATTTTCAAACTGACCCCGAAGCCCATGTAATTAGTCAGAGTACGCGGGCCGAATCAAAGTGCTAGAGCCATGCGCGATTTTAAATTATACTGCCCTGAAGTCACCTGTAATTGGTAACAAATTCTTTTATATTGAGAAATGTGTGAAATTGATAAAAGTTTTCAAAATTTATCCTTATTAAGTTTTTTTTTTTATATTCACAAATCATTATCATCTCTTCTTCTTTTTTTTTCCAATGAAAATTAAATAAATTAAATTAAAAATAAATATTAAATAAATTATAAATAACTTATATTTAGGATCAAAATTACTCCCCATAAGTGTCTTACAATCAGGATTAGATCGAGTGGTGATTAATAACAGCTTGACAAAAGTCTAAGCCTCACTTTTTAACACATACCAGATTTATGCAAAATGAATGCAAGTTTTGTTGGCACGTGATGAAATCTGATGAAAGAGTCATTGAAACGTAAGAGATCAACATTGTGCATTGCGGAAACTGAAAAACAAGACATTTGAAAACAGTACAACATGCAGCAGTTGGAAATTATACAGTCAAACTAAAGCAAAATGCCGGGGATTGGGGGCTACTTAATTTTCAAAATAATATATGTTAGTAAAAGCAATCACAAATCAAAGAACAGCTGTCTGGCAAAAAAAAAAAAACAATAAGATCAGGTGAACAATTGTTATTTTTTGATTTAGAAGGGTAAGTACAAATGAGATTAATTACAAATGGATTGACCCCGTGGGCTTTCAGCTGAAAGTTTTTATGCTAATGGACCACGGCATTATCAATTAGCTACACAAGGCTTTGTGTACGTGCTCTTTCTGTTTTTCTAATGGTCTGACAGAAACAATTCAAAATCGCAGGAGAGACAATAAAACGGAAATCGACAGACATAAAGGAGGGAGAGAGCAAAGCGAGCCACAGTTAGCAAGTGCAAGAAATCCACTGAAACAGAAAAACAAGAGTGTTGTGGAATTTTATTAAAAGTGGTCACAAATATTCTGCACATCTGACTCATATACAACCATGACAAGTTTATAACTCAGTAGTTGTCAATTTACTCGGTCGTTCCTATCATCATGTAGGGTGCAACGGCAAGCATGGATGAACAGTAAGTGAAAATCATTCCGACGGCGGCGAAGGTCAGCTCCAACTGAAGGGGGAAGCCGCGGGTGAGGAATCCAATCATGTAGAGGGAGGAATAAAAGCCCAGCGAGTTCCAAAACATGAACCATGCAAAAGCAAAATAACTATTGGTTCCCATGATTGAAACCCCAGCACGCTGTTTGGGATTCACACTCAGATTGTTGTCCTGCCAAACACCACCGGGAGGACTCAACCCCGCCTGATAGGTGGCCGTCGCCATTAGAACCGCCAAAGTGAGCAGGGCAGTCCGGACATCGCTGGGTTTATCTCTCTCATTATCGTATGTGAAATATCTTTCCATTTGTTTCGTTCGGCCCTCCTGGCGGGGTTGAGCTGCGACGTGATCCGCTTCACCATCTGGCTGTCCAGTGGCTGCGTCGTGGGAGGGTGATGAAAGATTTCCATTCTGATTCAGAGTAAGAGCGATTTCTGAGGATTGGTTTTGATCTGAAGTAGACATTATTGACTGCTCATGCTGTTGCTGATCAATGTTTCTGCAGCCAGCTTTCTGCCTCACCCACTTATATTTAACCGGCCAATTATCCAACGCCTGACCTCCAGCGCGGTACTAGCTAGGGTTTAATCAAACCAATAAATGGAGGTTTAACTTGTTGACTTTGGGAAACAATTAGATAATTAGATAAAAGACACGCTCGCGGTTTTCATCATATTTTTATGTAAAATGTTTCTTTGAAACGGAAATCAAATTTTTATGAATTGATTCCGATGATGAGCATGTCAAATACGATGTCAGATTAAAATCTATGCATCTCGAAGTGCCCATGTGTGCTGATATTCAGAGCATGATCAACCTATGCGGTGTGATTTTTGCAGTTCTTAAGTTGGCGTGATAGAGAATTTTGCAAGTCTATTAAGACGAAACTTCAATGTTGCAAATACCAGCATATAAGAATACTTTGATGTTGACCCCAAAATATAAAACGAAAAATAAATCAATACTTAACGTAAAAGACTGACTCATTCGTTTTCAAATTACCACAGATCAATCATTTTAGGGTTAGTACGAGAAAAACTGAGGGGGGAAAAATTTTAATAAACTTATTTTTAAAAAATTGAAAAGGTAGGGTTAAAATTTTCTAATTACTTTTTTTTTTACTCTTTTATCTTACATTTTCTTTTTATCAAATTTTTATAACCCCACTTCGATTTTTTAAAACAAGCTTATTAAAAAATTTTCTCCCCTCCCCTCCATTTTCCTTGTACTTTTCACAGTTTCCTTTGCAACCTCTATGGTTTAAAACAGAATGCATATATGCCTTATCCTTATTGCAAGAAATCGGATCGATATTTGTATTTTTTATATACTCATTAATCATTGCTATTCCATTCAACGTGTCATGATTTCATACGAAACCTTATAATCAAACTATTTATCATGTTAATTCTGTTTTCAAAAAATGGCTTGATAAGAATTTCGCATCTACATTTTCAAGTTGACCATGGCCCAGTGTTTGCACATTTGGTTCATGAGATTGATGGCCCATTTGAAAAAGTGGATAAATAACATTTTAATTATGATTTATAGAATACAAAATAAATATATTAAAAAACTTTTATCTCGTCTTATATAAAATGTGTTTATAAGTATTTTTAATCGGGAATTCAATCAGACTATGAGATTCAAAGCATGAGCGAGCGGGATTTTAATATTTTATTCCCCTTAGGAAAATGGAAGGGATCCTTTTTTTTTTTTTGGCAATACAATGGAAGGCAAAAATCTTTTAAGAAAATACAAACGGAGGGATCCCTTTTCCTCCCCTCCTAAGTCCTAAGTATGGGAAGCTCGAGTTGAAGGAGAGGGGAGGAGCTAAATTTTATATTATTATTTCAATGAGATTTTGAATATCGTAATACTTATATTCATATGGGATATGTTGAAATTTCAGAAAATAATAAGGCTTTAAAAATTGGGTTGGTTTAGGTACAGGTCGAATAGATTATAGATGAATGATTATTATATTTTAATTTTACATGTTAAATATTTAATACAAATGAAAAAATCTAATGCCATACTCGCAGGTTAAATTTAACTTCAGTACTTAACAAAGGGCTTTAAATGAATGGGGCTTATATAAATGATTATTGGACTCAGCACATCTATTCGAACTTCGCACATCATCTGAAATAATTTTATTCGTTTCTGTTGTAATCATCTACAACACACGCCTCCCCGAGAAAACCAGCACCAATGACTTTGTTCCCCCCCCCGGCCGATTGCAAATGACTTTGTTTCTGCAACATCAGATTCTGATGGTCATTTCTTAGGTGACAGTGGCGTTCCAAATGCGCACTATATTTTACATCCACTCTCTCATGGCCACTTTTTTTCAACTGTTTTGGACAGGCTTGAATGGGCTGAGCTCGCACTAATTGGCCCGTTCCCACTCGGCAGCTCCATATCCTGCCCGCTACTTCAACATTTCTGATTTTGAGGGTGTTTGGATAAAAACAAAATCATGATTTTAAAAATGCTTTTATGATATATGAAGTAAATATATTGAGGAGTTTGTCTCGATTTACATAAAAATGCTTTTGAAAAGTGATTCGGGTTACCCAAACACCCCTTTTATCTCTTGGTCTATGGTCACTGAAACATCTTTTGTGATTCATCCATCAGATTCCCACTTCCCATGGTTCCTCCTCAACCCTCGCCCAAATTCATCTCTGAAACACTATTAGTCGGCAACAACAGGGCCCTGCTACAATCTATTCTGGCCATTTAAACATTCTCCCTCAACTGAATTTATAAATATTCGGCTTATCATTATCATCATCTTGACTGTTCTCCTTCTCACGCCGGTAGTTGGTAGGACCAGATATCCACACAATACTGGTATGCTATCTCCACATTTTTGTTTTTCGCTATTTCTGTACTCACTCCTCACCAACATTCATTTTGGTATTTGGCACGACCGTTTTATAGATGATCTAGGGTTTGGCCTATCATTTATCACCTTTCATGTGGACTACTGTGTCTGAATTTTGTCTTTTCTCATTTATTTCTTTCTTGTTTTTCCTCCCTAAAAAAATATTTCTTGTTGGGTTTCTTTGACAGCAAAATTTGCGTTTCAACATGCTCATGAGACTAACAAACCAACTACTCAAAATTCGGGTCTCTTTGATTATTACTTCTGTTTACAACTTATCAATCTTATTAGAGGACTTTTCAGGAGTAAGAAAACAGGCTGTAGATTTATAGATCTTAATTTTATGAAATTGGTGAATAATTTGATTGTGCTCAAATAAAAAATGCTAGGTTAGAAGTATGGGCCCAGTAGAAGAAAGAACTGCTCGGGATTCCATATGTCAAACATGCTTGAACCGGCCTGGACCGTCACACTCTTTCTGTTTTAATTGCTCTGTGTGACCTGGGTGTCAATCCGGAGGTACTTGCTGCTGTCGTGAGGGAACTGAGAAGAGACAAGGCTTCTCTAACTCAGCCATCATCCTCCCTGCCCGCATAACCGTCATCTCTGACCTAAAAGAGGCTTAACATTCGCTTTTCCATTTTGCCTATGCATTGGGTTTCCTCTGTTTTAGGATCCATGCGCAAGCATGATTATTAGTTTATCTTTTGAGTGTACAAAAACCAACCAAGTGTTTATGGACAAAAATGTTTTACAAGCACTTAAATGCTAAAATTGGGAGATATCCATTAAAAAAAGTATTTAAGAAGTGACAGGAACTATTGTTGTTTTTTTATTGATGATTGACACGTGAAATACTATGTAAATAAACCGTGCTCCCTTATCAACAGAGCACATCAGTGTTGGGGGATAGGAAGTAGTTTTCCTTGAAGGAAGGCATCAAACAGCATAAATGCCCTCTTTGGTTGAGTGGCCGGGGCTACATGGGAAGCCCCCCTTATCACTGCATAACTTAACCATTTCCCATACTCTTCTATCCACCCTCCAACCTGCAATTTGTTTCACACATCACCATTGTCAAGGTGTTGGTTTTAATTGCTTTTAAAACTTACAAGAGAAATAAAATTTAAATTAGCTCACCTGCAGCTTTTCACCCACAAACCAGGGTGTGTACTCCGTTGTTACTTTGAGTTTCAATTCTTCAGCTAATTTCCTCACCAAACGTCGAGTTCCTATGAATGGAATTTTTGCATCCTGGTCTCCACTGTCACGTCACATGCCATTCTAATTCATTATTATGTTGATATTCATATATGCAACCTGCCAAATCTAATTAGTACCTGTAAACCACCACCCTTATGCCCAACTTCACGAGCCAGCCTACTACCTTAATCGTCGGGATTTCCCAGCTTGCAACTGAATAATTTGTATTGATGGGTCTACGGAACATAATGCCATCTAATTTATGCACAAAGAATATATAAAAGTATCAATTGTTTTGTTCAAGTAGTGATCGGCAATTTACTTATTACAATAGGCCCATCTGTTTGCTCCAACAAGCTGCGCATGCAAAGCCGTCTGTACATCCTTCATATTTAAATAGTTAGATAAGAGCGTTAGTCCGAGTTTGCAAACACCATCATCTCCCTGCAAAAAAGACATCGAATTGATCACTTTTCAATACACTCAGGCACCCGTATATCTATGTCATTCGAATGTTGACTGATGACTTCACACCTGGCGATTGTTTGTATATGGCGGCAAAAGCTGAGACATTATTGGGGTTGGTGGGTGAGCGAGGATGGCTGCCGTGGATAAATTTAAAGGTTTGCAAGTTTGGCCCAGAATATTATTTTGGTCTACCGAATGAGCAAACGCAGTTTCCACACTACCATAGAGTTTCTTGCAAGTGTCAGAGATCTTACCCTGTATCAATTGTCTTACATACTCAGAACCCTTACACACTCTATTCATAGCGTTGCAAGTTGAATCTGATATTAACCCATGGGACCAATAGTAATCAACCTTCGAATCGAAGTCATTCTCAAACTCTAGCAAGGGATTCCCTATCTGCAATGCGACAAAAATTTGGGGGAGGAACGTATTGACTAAATATGTCATGATTGCCTGTTTTCATACACGAAAAACAAAAACAAAGTCAACTTGTTGTAATGCTTCTTACCGCTATACCCTTGAGGTTGGGGATGGCCTTGGTTTGAATAATAAGCTGTGCAACGTGTGGCACGTAGTGCCCTGACAGTGACACAAACCCGGTGCTATGAGATTGAGGTCCAAGAAAATTTTAGTGTCCTAGAGGCCGTAATTTATAGTAGGCTATATGTATATGTGAATGATTCCACGTGTTCCATAGGCATACCTCCGTAACTCTCGCCTGTTATGAACAATTCTCTGTTCTTGTATTCTGGAAACTTGGCAAACCAACGCTGCAGAAATGCCAAATTGTCTCGCGCTAACAAAGAAAAAAATCAAAAGAGTACGTCAGAGTCAGTTCCTCTTTCACGCAAATGATTAGTCAGAAGGATGATTGATATCGTTCTGTAGGAGATGCCTTTAAAACTTGATATGGCGAGAAAATAAACCTATGATCTCGTCGTTGTAGGAAGCATAGATGGACGCATTGACGGAATAAGAGAATCCAACACCTGCCGGTGATTCCAAGTATAACATGTTCGCCACTGCAGTAAACACAATGTGAACTCTTGGATTTGGATTGTGTATTAACGATGCAATAAACAAATTATTGTTCTTTAAAGATGCTACTTATGTTGCACTTATTATTCTTATTTTAGCTCCAGAGAATCATACCTCTGCTCCAACTATATTTATTCTTCACGATACCCTTTGCACTGACTACAAATGGCCCGTGTTCAAGGAAGGCTCCGATGAGGGAAGAACAGCCCGGACCTGAAAGTGAAATGAAACAAATTATATTAATTTCTCAGAAAAATAAGTGTTGTTTGAGATTATCGAGAAGTCTGAAGCGGGAAGGGAAGGCAACCTCCATTGAGCCAAAGAACGAGAGGCTTGGAAGTAGGTTTTGTTTCTGCTTCAACAAAGTAATAAAACATGGATCTCTGTTTCCTGTCATCGATGGTTATGTAGCCAGCAAATTGCTGAAACGTTACGGGTGGCTGGCCAGGCAAGCTTTGAATCTTATCGTCTCGCGGGTAAGACTCCGCCATGGGACATGTGAACACGAAAATGGCACACACTATGGCCAACCAGTTCCATGGCTGAGACAACATAGTTAACGGAGAGCAATAATAATTGATGGTGGGGGTGGTCATGGTTATGGGAACGGAATGAGGAAATTATATAGCAGGTTAGATGGCCTTGAGATAATGGTGGGACCCCGCATGTAAGACTATCATCTTCATAACTGTTCCCAAAGGGATCACCTGCGGTAGAACCCAACCTGTTCACTTCTGTAATGCCCAATACGAGGGCTTTTGAAGCATGAAGTTGTTTTCATGTTTTCAAAAAAGACGAAGCCATGTTTATCTGTGCCAAATAGCATGATGACGCAGCAAGCGAATATAATCTCCTCAAAAAGAATATAATCCGGCTCTTTTCTATAAAACAAAGAGAGAGAAAAAATTCTTCCAAATATAATTTTCTCAACTATATAGGTATTTCCTTCATGCCTATAATTGAGATTTGAGAGCGGCGTGAGAATGTCGAAGATTAACCAAGAGCTCGACCACCGCCATATTATTAGCCATGGTCGCTCCGATCCTACTCACTCATTGTTTAGTGTGGTTCTTTATGTGCATAAATTTTTTTTTAAAAAAAATTATCAGATTATTCATGAAAATTCTTTCCAGTTTTTATTTTTATAAAAAACTATAAATACCTGATTAAAAATTAGGTAAAATTATTAAAAAATGATTAATTAAGAATTTAAAAGAAGAACTGAATAAAGAAAGTAGGAAATAGAAAGTTTGAGAGGACACATGAAGGAAAGATGAGGGGCCAACTTCGAGGCACCATCCTGTAAATGAATAAATGGAGACATAATAATTTCATAGCGATGCTGATTAAACATCTGTTTACTGTTTACATCGCAACAACCTGTTTCCTTTTTCCCCAAAATAGATAGTGTACATCGCTACAACCATTGAGATGGACGCAACACTGATGCAACAGTCACGCATCGAACTTGGATCAACTTAAAATTATTACAGCGCGGAACCTCTCCGCCTAGGCATTCTCTCCATTTACCTCCACTAACGCAATTCTCTCCATTTCCCTCCACTAACGCAAAACTATGTCATTTCCCACCTCTCCACCCAATCAACTTCTTGTATTCCCCTCCACTTGGTCCGGCGACATCGTTTTGCAGTGCCCTGATCTTAAAAAAAAGGAAAAAAGGAACACTCACTCAAACAAGGGAAAAAATCACAGATCTCTTCTCGTCTTCGTTCACTTATACCAACTGAGAAACAGCAATGGAGGAATAGAGAGAACAGCGCCACTACAGCAATTATAACAAGCCTTGTGAGTTATTTATTTATACAATATCATACTACAAATTGAGTATTCTTAACAAAAAAGAGGCAATCATCGAAGGCTATATAAAGACTGCGTTATGTGTGAAGAAAGACTGAAAGAGATCTATGATTCTTTTTTTTTTTTTTTTTGAGTTGTTTTTATCATTTATTTAACATCAGGGCATTCCAAAACAGCATCGCTGGACTACGTGTAGGAGAATTACAAGAAGCTGATTTGTGGGGAGATGGGGAACGACGTAGTTTTGGGTTAGTGGAGGGAAATGGAGAGGGTGCCTAAATGGAGAGGCTCTGCGCCGAAATTATTGTATAACAAATACTGCGATGACTAGGCCCACTTAAAAGAAGAACATTAGGCTGTTGCTTCAAATAGGCCGAGCCCAAATACCTTCAGGGCCAACCCATTCAAATTGGGCTCGATCATTCCCTGTTAATCAAATCAGAGGCCAGAGAGGCGGAGATTGTGAGAGGCGAAGAAAAGTGCCAGATTGTATAAATTGATTTTTGTCGTGGCAGCGCGGGGACCAAATTAAAGGTCCATGGAGGAAGTCTATGTGAAGGCTCATGGGACGATGGTGGCGCAGTATTATAATCAGAATAAATGAACAGAATAATTAACGGGCTTGATTACACTGGGGAGAGTGGTTTGGCTGACGCCAAGAAATGTCTGAAACAGCACAAAGGAGCTCTCTCAGGTTTTACGTGTTCAAATACCTCCCTGTGTCTTTCAAATCACACTCATCCATCTTCACTGAATAGATTTTAAAATCTGGTGCATGTTTCGCCTTAATTAGCCGTTGAGTGAGAATTCCAGCTCGCGATATACTCCGTAAGATATTTGTGTCCAATAAAACCAGAACCATTGACTACGTCACGGCAACGTCAGATTCTGATTATGAGTTTTTGGGGCACTCTCTTAATTTGCGCCATTTTCGGAAGATGTGGACAGCCATATTGCAGGTCCCCACCAAAAAAAAAAAAAACATGATCATTCACCGTCCCAATTATCTGAATATTACTGTCTCCACTTTCACGATGCAAAAACCAAAAGAAAAGGGAGGGCGATGGCATTATTGCAGATAAGATCCAAATAATCCAAATATCCCATATTAGCAGATCCAAAAGAAGACACACACTGCATGCTGGTCGCTCCACGGATACCCTGGACATCAAAATGCACAAAATGCGAATGTTAATGGGGTGAAAGAAGTAAAATAAGAAGAGAGGAAAAAGATAAATAGGGAAAAGAAAAGGGGTTTTGCAAAGCATGAGGGCATGATCCGGAAAATAAATTACTCGATGTGGACACTCATACATATAAATTACAGGGGTAGTTGCGGGGTAGTGCGAAACCTATCCACAGTCTTTCTGATTTTGCGAGCAAACTTTGAGCCTCTCAAAAACGTGATGCAAGCTAGAGAGATGGGAAGAGCAAAGCAGAGGGCAGTAAAAGCATAGCGCAGAGATTTGTTGGGTGCAACGGCAAACACGGATAAACTGTACGTGCAAAGCATTCCGGAGGCAGCGAAGGTCAGCTCCAACCGAAGAGGGAAGCTGGCGGTGAGGAATAAGATCATGTGCATGGAGGAATAAAAGCCCCCTGCGTTCCAAAACATGAACCATGCAAAAGCAGAATAACTTTTGGTACCCATGATTGAAACCCCAGCACGCGGTCTGGGATTCACATTCAGATTGTTGTCCTGCCATACACCGCCGGGAGGACTCAGCCCCGGCAGATAGGTGGTCGTCGCCATTAGAACCGCCACAATGAGCAGGGCAGTCCGAACATTGCTGGGTTTATCTCTCTCTTTATCGTATCTGAAATATGTTTCCATTTGTTTCGTTCGGCCCTGCTGGTGAGCGGCGACCGCATCATCGGTGGCTGCCTCGTCGGAGGGTGACGCAGGATTTCCATTCTGATTCACAGCAAGAGTGATTTCTGCTGATTGATTGTCTGGAGCTGACATTGTTGCTTATGCTGTTTTGGAACGATTTTCCTGCCTGCAGCCCTGTACCATATTTGTATTCAACCAACCAATAATTGCACCCCGCCTGACCTCGTACGCGGCACTCGCTGGAGTTTAATCAAAAAACAATAAATGGAAGTTTAACTTGTTGAATTTGGGAAACATCAGATAATAATCAGATAAAAGACAAGCTTGATTTTCATAATGTTTTCGTGTAAAATGTTTCTTTGGAAAGGATCAAATTTTTATGAATTATATTATATTGATACCGTTGAGCAGGTCAAATACAATCTCATATTAAAATCTATGCACCTGGAAATGCCCGTGTGTGCTGATATTCAAAGCGTGATCAAATTATGAGGTGTGATTTTTGCAATTTGCACCTCTTAAATTGGCATGATAGAGATTTGCGAAGTATATATATTAAGATGAAACTTCGATGTTGCGATCGAATATATAAGAATGCTTCAATGTTGAGAAAATGAAACAGAAAATAAGTCGATGTGAATTAACATAAAAAATTGACTCATTCGCTATGTAATCAGGGCGGACCGGCCACTTTACAATTTCATTTGCAGCCTCTATGTGATCTAAAACAGAATGCATTTATACCTTATACCAAACTAACCCACTTTGTTTTTTGGGGGGACTGAAAGCCAGCCCACTTACTCAACGCCTAGCCTCGTACTAGGAAAAATTAATTAGTGAGAAATTGCTGGTTTCACTTTATAATTTCTTTGCAAAGAACTGTATGGTTTAAAACAGAATGCATTTATGCTCTGTCCTTGTTGCAAGAAATCGGAGAGATATTTAATTATATATACATTTATATCAAATATCATGTACTTCGCTCATCAGTCATTACTATACATTTATTACATTCTGTGTACTGCGATTTCACACGATTTCGGAGGTAGTATATTACTATTTCAATGCGATCTTTAATATCAAGGTATACTTATATGGGATAGGTTGAAATTTCAGAAAATATTGTAAGGTATTAAAAATTGGGTTGGTTCATGCACAGTTAACTATTCCAACTGCAGTTGAATCGATTATAATTGTTGAATCACCAATATAATTTAACCTTCCATGTTAAAATATTCAATGCAAACAAAACCAAGTAAATGTAATACCATGTTCACAAATTAAATTTAACTTGAAGCAATTATCTGAACCCCAAGTCAAAACATTAAGCGTACCCACCGCATCTATTCAATCTTCACAGATCAATGTCTTTTTTTTTTTTTAACTTACTAGAGCAATGTTAACGCTCAATAGGCATATAAGGAAAGTTTTTGAGGTTTAATTTCTTTTAAAAGTTACTATTAATCAAGAAAAAATTCCAAAAAAAAAATGACCGTTGACTTTTAAAATTCTAAATCAGTATTAATTACTACACTCCTAAGGAAAATAACTATACTTAAAAAGAAAGTAACAACATATTTTTATATTAATTCCTGATTTAAAATTTTAAAATTTAATAGTTATTTTTTTTTAGATTTTTTCATTAATTAATTGTTTTGCGTACTTATTGTAGAAAGTAACAACATATTTTTATATTAATTCCTGATTTAAAATTTTAAAATTTAACAGTTATTTTTTTTGAGATTTTTTCATTAATTAATTGTTTTGCGTACTTATTGAATATTGATTTTTTTTTTTGGTACAGAATATTGAATTATTGATACTCCACTCAGCAGTCAGCACATACATGAAGCTCCGTTTGGAATGGGCCAACCAACATCCGTTAAAACTCAAAACTGATTGGGCTTACTCGGTTCCTCCATTTCCTTCTGGCTCGTTCAACTTATCCGATTCATACATTTTGTCTCTAGTCATTCAAACATCTTCGTAATTCATCCACCAGATTCCCACTTCCCACGGTCCATCTTCTACTCCTTTCCTAAACACTATCAGTCGGCGACATCAGTGCCTGATGCGATCTGTTCTGCTCTAGCTTTTTAAGCCTCCTCCCTCAACCAAGTTTATAAATATTCCGCTCGCCAATATCATCGTCCTTGGCTGTTTTCCTTCTCAGGCCGGTGTTTGGCCGGGCATTCCTTTTCATACCCACGCCAGATCCACACATTACTGGTATGTTATCCCCACATCTTTCTTCTTCGCTATATCTATATTCACTCCTCACCAACCTTTATTTAGGGATCTGGCACGACCGTTTTAGAGATGATCTGGGTTCTTGCTTATCATTTCTCGCCTTTCATCTAAACTACTGCATCTGAAATTTGTATTTTCTCATTTCTTTCTTTCTTCCTACCCCCCCCCCCAAAAAAAAACTTTCTGGGTTTCTTTGCCAACAAGATCAGCGTATGAATATGCTTATGAGAATAGCAGATTTCTGTTTACAATTCATCAATCTGATTAGAGGCCTCTTCAGGAGTAAGAAAATCCAAGCTGTAGATTTATAAATCTTAATTATATGAAATTGGTGAATAATTTGATTGTGCCCAAATGAAAAATGCTAGGTTAGAAGTATGGACCCAGAAGAAGCAAGAACTGCTCGGGAATCGTTAGACCTGGCATTCCATATGTCAAACATTCTTGACACGGGCCTGGACCGTCACACTCTTTCTGTTTTAATTGCTCTGTGTGACCTGGGTGTCAATCCGGAGGCACTTGCTGCTGTCGTCAGGGAACTGAGAAGAGACAAGGCTTCTCCAACTCAGCCATCATCCTCCCTGCCCGCACAAGCGTCATCTCTGCCCTAAATGAGCTTTAACATTCGTTTTTCCGTTTTGCCTATGCATTGGGTTTCCTTTAGGATCCGTGCGCAAGCATGATTATTAGTTTATATTTTGAGTGTACAAAAACCAGCCAGGTGTTTATGCCTAAAAATATTTTACAGGCACTTAAACGCTAAAATTGGTAGATATCCATTGAAAAAAATTATTTAAGAAGTGATAGGAACTATTGCTTTTATTTGATTGATCATTGATACGTGGAATACTATGTAAATAAACTGTGCTCCCATATCAGCAGAGCACATCATTGTTGGGGGATAGGAAGTAGTTTTCCTTGAAGGAAGGCATCAAACAGCATAAATGTCCTCTTTGGTTGAGTGGCCGGGGCTTCATGGGAAGCCCCCATTATCACTACATAAGATAACCATTTCCCATACTCTTCTGTCCACCCTCCAACCTACAATCCGTTTCACAGGTCAACATAAACATCGTCAAGGTGGTGACTTCAATTAATCTTACAAGAGAAACAAAATTTAAATTTAGCCCACCTGTAGGTTTCCATCCACAAACCAGGGTGTGTAGTCCACTGTCACTTTGAGTTTCAATTCTTCAGCTAATTTCCTCACCAAACGTCGAGTTCCTATGAATGGAAGGTTTGCATCCTGGTCTCCACTGTCACATCACATGCCATTCTAATTCATTATTATGTTGATATTCATATATGCACCCTGCTAGATCTAATTAGTACCTGTAAACCACGACCCTTATGCCCGACTTCACGAGCCAGCCTACCACCTTAATGGTCGGGATTTCCTTGCTTGCGAATGAATATCTTATATTGATGAATCTGCGGAACATAATGTCATCTCATTTATGCACAAATAATAACAATTGTTATTTTCAAGTAATGATCGGCAATTTACATGTTACAATAATCCATGTGTTTGCTTCGACAATCTGCGCATGCAAAGCCGTCTGTACATCCTTCCTATTTAAATAGTTGGATACTAGCGTCAGTCCGCAAACGCCACCATCTCCCTACAAAAAAGACATCGAATTGATCGCTTTTCAATACGCTTAGGTACCCCCATATTTATGTCATTCGGATGTTGACTGATGACTTCACCTGGCGATTGTTTGTATATGGCTGCAAAAGTTGAGACATTATTGAGGTTGGTGGGCGAGCGAGGATGGCTGCCGTGGTTAAATTTAAGGAATCACAGGTTTGGCCCAGAATGTTATCTTGGTTTACTGAAACCACGAACTCGGCTTGTACAATGCCATGGAGTTTCTTGCAAGTGTCAGACATCTTACCCTTGATCAATTGTTTTGCGAACTCAGAACCGTTACATACTTTGTTCATAGCGTTGTAAGTGGAATCCGATATTAACCCATGGGACCAATAGTAATCAACCCTCGAATCAAGGTCATTCTCAAATTCTAGCAAGGGATTCCCTATCTGCAACCCGACAAAAAATTGGGGGACAAAAATGGGTATTAACAAATATGTAATGATCGCCCGTTTTCATACGCGAAAATAAAAAACAAAGTCAACTTGTTGTAATGCTTCTCACCGCTATACCCTTGAGGTTGGGGATGGCCTTGGTTTGAATAATAAGCTGTGCAAGCTGTGGCACATAGTGCCCTGACAATGACACAAACTCAGCACTATGAGATTGAGGTCCAAAGAAAATTTTAGTGTTCTAGAGGCTATAATTTATAGTAGGCTATACGTATGTGTGAATGATTCCACGTTTCCATAGACATACCTCCGTAACTCTCGCCCGTTATGAACAAGTATCTGTTCTTGTATTTTGGGAACTTCGCAAACCAACACTGCAGGAATGCCAAGTTGTCTCGCGCTAACAAAAGAAAAAATGGATACGAGTATGTTAGTTATTGTTTCATGCAAATGATTAGTCAGAAGGATGAATGATATCATTCTGCGAGAGATGCTTTTAAAACTTGATATGGCCAGAAAATAAACCTATGATCTCATCGTTGTAGGAAGCATAGATGGACTTGTTGACAGAATAAGAGAATCCAACACCTGCCGGTGATTCCAAGTATAACATGTTCGCCACTGCAGTAAACACAATGTGAAATCTTGGATTTGGATCGTGTATTAATTATTGTTGTTTAAGGATGCCACTTATTTTGCACTCATTATTCTTACTTTAGCTCCAGAGAGACGTACCTTTGTTCCAACTATATTTATTCTTCACGATACCCTTTGCACTAACTGTAAATGGCCCGTGTTCAAAGAAGGCTCCGATGAGAGAAGAGCAGCCCGGACCTGAAAACGAAATGAAACAAATTATATTAGTTTCTCAGAAAAATAAGTGTTGTTCGAGATTATCCAGAATTCTGAAGCGGGAAGGGAAGGCAACCTCCATTGAGCCAGAGAACGAGAGGCTTGGAAGTAGGGTTTGTTTCTGCTTCAACAAAGTAATAAAACATGGATCTCTGTTTTCTATCATCGATGGTTATGTAGCCAGCAAATTGCTGAAACGTTACGGGTGGCTGGCCAGGCAAGCTTTGGATCTCATCCTCTCGTGGGTAAGACTCCGCCATGGGGTATGTGAGCACAAAAATGGCACACACTATGGCCAACCAGTTCCATGTCTGAGACAACATAGTTGACAGAGAGCAACATTAATTGATGGTGGGGGTGGTCATGGTTATAGGAACGGAATGAGGGAATTATATAGTTGGTTAGATGGCTTTGAGATAATGGTGGGACCCCGCATGTAAGACTGTCATCTTCATAACTGTTCCCAAAGGGATCGCCTTTGGTAGAACCCAACCTGTTCACTTCTGTAATGCTAAATACGAGGGCTTTTGACGCATGAAGTTGTTTTCATGTTTTCAAAATGATAAGGATTATAAATTAAGGTCGTATTTATTTTATTATTTTATATTTTCATAATAAAAAAATGCCTCATAAATTTCAGTGGTTAAAGAATTCAACTTCATTCCAGTTTGCGAATACGCCCCCGATATTCTCAACCTGCTTCTCGGGGGTACTGTTATTTTGAGGACTCGATCAATAATGCATGAATGGTCAAAATTTCAGAGAACCCACGAGCTATGATTAGAGAGGACATGAAAGGGAAAAAGCATAACTAAAGATGAGGCCATGTTTTTTTTGTCCGGTCAAAAAAGAGGAAGCCACGTTTATCTGTACCAAATAGCATGATGACTCAGCAAGCGAATATAATCTGGCTTATCCTCAAATCTGGCTCTTTTCTATAAAACAAAGAAAAACAATTCATTATGCAAGTCCCAATGATGTGCCTCATTTTTAATTGAGATTTTATAGTAATTTTTAGTGTGCCCTTCTGAATATAATTTTCTCAAATATAGCCATTTGCCTCATGCCTACAATTGAGATTTGAGAGCGGCGTGAGACTGTCTAAGATTAATCAAGAGCCTGACCACCACCATATTATTAGCCATGGTAGCTCCCATTCACTCACCGTTTACTGTGGTTCTTTATCTGCATAAAAATTTATTAAAAAAATTATCAGATTATTGATGATTTTTTTTTTTTTGCAGTTTTGTAATAAAAAGTTATAAATACCTGATTAAAAATTAGGTAAAATTATAAAAAATGATTAATTAATAATTTAAAAGAAGAATTGAATAAAGAAAACAGGAAATAGAAAGTTTGAGAGGACACACGAAGGAAAGATGTGGGGCCAACTTCGAGGCACCATCCTGTAATATGAATAAATGGAGACACAATAATTTCATAGCGATGCTGATTGAAACATCCGTTTACTGTTTACATCGCAACAGCCCCTTTTTTTTTCTCTCTCTTTTTTAAATACATTCTGCACATCCCCACAACCATTGAGATGGACGCAACACCGACACAACATTCAACGCATTGAACTTGGATCCGGGGCTCAATTATTGTTATATTATAACAAACACTTGGATGACTAGGCCCACTTAAAAGAAGAACATTAGGCTGTTGCTTCAAACAGGCCGAGCCCAAGTGCATTCAGGGCCAACGCGTTCCAATTGGGCTCGATCATTCCCTGTTAATCAATTTCCTCCCTGCTGTGCTGGCTGCTTCAACTCCACAATTCACACTTTCCTGGTCTTCCATGCTCGTTGAAACAATATTTGTTCCCTCTCTATCTTCATGACTTCATCCTGTCGTCAACCGTTGACCAAATGCTGCATCAAGCTGAAGCTTTCTCTTTTACGCTTTAATGACTGGATGCTTGACTCTTTTCCTTCCTTCTCCTCCAGAGCCATAGGTTCCTTGCTCTGCAATAATATCAGACGGCTGGATCATGACAGAATGAAATTACCCACGTCAACAAACTTATGTACGAAAAAGAGAATTAACAAAGCATGGATTCAACTTCTCTCGGCGATGAAGGACCACTGAGAGAGAAAAGAAATCCTCCAATGCGAGTCCAAGAGTCCATATTCCATATGTTACTTTGGGTAATCGAGGCAAACTAGGCGATAAGGATTCCATAAATCGGTGGGAGAATAAATCTTCGACCTCACTTTTTCACCGAAGATTCTGCAAAAGTCACGCCAGTAATTTTCAGCCAATCATCAACGCCTACACCGTGGTTCGCTTCTAGAGACACCATTCATACAACTTGACCCTGAGGCCAGATTCATCCTCCCCACAAACTTATAGCTATCAACACTGTCGCAATAATACTCAAATATTACAAACATATGTATGCTGATTACTAAAAATCTGGATTTAGATCTTCAAATGGTAGATTAAGAATTCCCATACTAATGAACCATTGAATGAACCAGAATAGAAGTGTTTGTACTATCAGGCACCTCCGAATACTATGCTTTCGTTTTGGTTTTTGGCAATTTTCTAAAGATTAGTCTGAGGCCTAGCCACTTGCTAGATATTAGCATATATAGGTATATATAGAGCAGGGTCAGTCTATATCAAGTTGCTAGCTAAAGCCTGACCGCGGTATCTCACTAAAGCGGCCTCTAAATTAGACTATTCTGATGCTTTTCTGGAAATGTAGCCTTATCCCATGTTCCACACATAGATACTCACCTACATTGTCCATCCCATTCCTTCATTGTCTCCGTTCATACTCACTAGAGTTTATTTATGGTTTAACTAGCCCAAGAATCGGATGAAGAATATACTTCTCAAGCTCTGAATTTTTCAAAAAGGGGAAAAAGAAACACCAATGCTCAAGACCAACAGCAGTAGCAATAACAACAACATAGAGTAAGTAAAGGCAAGTTTACAAGGGTGGTCTGAGGAAGAAAATGATGTTACAAGATATGAAAAACTCTAGTTTCCGGGGGTAATTCCATCGTCCTATTATTCCTGCGTCTGAATCTCTAATGTTACAAAGCTTCTTTGTTTTCTTTAACAAGCTAAATGTGGCAGAGAAGTCAAGTAATGATTTGTTCATTAAGAAAAAGGTCAAGTAATCCAGTGCTACATCGAAGCTTTTTCAGAGAACATAACTGTGGAGTTAATTATATCCGAAAAATGCAAACTCCTGACTACTTTTGGTGACAAGGCCATTTTTCTGGCAAATTTTTAGTCTTTTCTTCGCCACAGCTGAATCGGATATCAGTTATAATGTCATTACGAAAGCTCCATATTCACAGGTACAAAATCCAAATAATTGGATGGACCAGCCAGACCCCAATCATGCCCTTTTCACCCAAAAAAAGGCAAACTTCACTAGGTACTATTTTTGTATGAGGGGCGGCTAAATTTTTCAGGTAAAGATATTATTCTCCAGACTGTAATTATATCTTGAACATCAGCGGGAAAACCTAAAGCCTATATTTTGTGCTCCAGGTCAAGCCACTGGCCAGAGTTAACAGCAAAAGACAAAGATTACTGACCAAATGAAAGGATCATTGACAATAATATTTACCTCATGCATATATAGCAGTGTTGTATTTGTTGGCAGCTGGTGCATTCTCCAAAGTTTGTAACATCCGAACAATGATAAGAATTATCATTCGTCCAATCCTTATGAAATTTGCTTATTTACCAACCAAATGCAGCTTCTTCCTATAAATGTTCCAATCAATTTAAGCATGTGTTCTCTTGTCCGCCATACAAGATGTTCCCATTAGTTGCCTGATTAAGATAGGTCAATGCTCCAAGGTTCGGATTAATTTCTATGATCCTGGAGCGTTTATTGTTCAGAAGAAAGAAAAGCGTACGAGTAGTCATAGTTCTTATATAGCCGCTTATTTTAGCTGATGATATGAGTGGAATTGAAGATTCGTCTCCCTAAGCGTTAAACAAAAAACACCAACGTAACGTACGTTATTTTGAGCATAAGGGGTCCCTGAAGCTACAGGAGTAGCAGGTAACAATGTTGACCTTTCACTGGGGTTAAGAACAAACTACAATCATTGTACGGACACAAGAGGCCAGCTAGAGCGTTGGACGGCTGTTCAAGACAAGTACCCTTCAAAGATCACCTGCCATAATGATTACCACAAACGAGATTCGTTTGTGATCAAACTCTTGAGAATAAGAGTACACAGATGTTTGATAAACACCTGGGTTTGAGCTTGGACCCACTGGAAAACTGGTGCAACTAAGAGAATTAAATACAGGCGCGTATAAGCTAATAGTGAGTGGCGCCCTTAAATCCACAAATCTGGAAGCTTGACAACACGTAAACGAGTAACTACAGGTTTAATCCACGATCTTGTTGAAATTTCCCAGGGAGGAGTTTTAATTTGATATATATCAGGGAATCAAGAATAAGGAAAGAGGACTGGTGCATAGACGAAGCATGGTAAATCCTATCGTTTTAGACTTTTAGTCATTTGTTTTACGGTTTCAAGATACTGATTCTCCCATATTGCTGCTCTTCTTCTTGGTCCTGCTCCATTCAGTGGCTCCTAAGGATACATATCACCAAATTCTACTCCACTGAAATTTTAAGCAACATATCAACGCCAAGTGCCAACTGGCACTGCCCCACCTTGCACCCTCCCACTTATGCTTATAAAAGGAGAAGCCATTGCCACGTCTCAGCACATACCAGCTCTTTCTGATCAGGTCTTACTCTATACACTCTCCAACATTCTTCCCATTCTCCAGTATATCTATTGCCAGGACTCGCCCTTAAGGAATGGCGTCGAGCTCAATGTCATCCACTGGTTCATGGAGTGCCCAGGAGAACAAAGCCTTCGAAAGGGCTCTTGCAGTTTATGACAAGGACACTCCTGATCGTTGGTACAATGTTGCCAGGGCTGTCGGTGGAAAATCACCAGAAGAGGTGAAGAGGCACTATGAGATGCTGGTCCGGGACATTCAGCATATAGAATCTGGGAGAGTGCCCTTCCCCAATTACAAGAAAAGTGTGGGCTTTGATGACCAAAAAAGGTACGTACTCTCGTCTAATATTCTTAACGCCTCCCCAGAAAATAAGAGTCACTGCTCACTTGCTCTAGATTAATGATTCTAACGTTGCTATATATATATATATATATATATATCTAACTGTGCATTTGACCCTTCTATAATTTGCAGGCTGAAAAACCTGCAGCTCCGGTGAACCATCAGTGACAATGAAGATTCTGATTGTCTCGTAATTGCATATTATAGCACTTGGTGTTATGTGGCATAATATATATATATATATATATATAAGACTTTAAGTCATGAGAATTAATTATAGCTCATGATCTATTTGTACTTTAATCGATGTCGTTGAAGCTGCCAAGAAGAATCAACGGCTATATATGCTTTCTAAGTTTCTGTTTGGCGTCATTAATAAAGCTACCAGAGTTCATGGTACTTCCTCCGCTTTAACTTTGGTATAGTTTCAATTTTTTTTTTTTACAAGGTTTAAGAAATTATTAATTAATGTAAAAAAATTAATTACGTCATGAAAACAAGCGGTGAAATGACGAGTTGATTATATAAAACAGAAGCATAATGTTAGCTATCTGTGCATGAGAATTGTCCGTATATTACATCAGCATAGCTTGAATCACTTGGTAGAAAATCACTGCAAGCTTATATGTTCTTTGTTTTGTCTAGGGATAATTAATCTCCAGGTCCTTATAGTTTTATCTGATTTTTAATTAGGTCCTTATAAAATTTTTTCTTTTTATCAGATCCTTTTACTTTCGTGTATTTTTAATTAGGTCCTTCTATTTTTTTTCTTTTTATCAGGTCCTTATAGTTTCACTTATTTTTTAATTAGGTGCTTTGTAGTTTTTGAAAAATTATTTATTAACTTTATTCTTTAAAATTAATTTCATTTTTAAATTAATAATTATATAATTGGACAAAATAATTAATATAATCATTTAGTAATTAATAAATAATCAGAATAATAATTATAATTAAATATAAATTATCTATAATCATATTTTAATTTTAGATAAATTTATTTTTATAATTTGAATTTTATAATTATAAAAATTCGAATTGAAAATAAATAATATATTTGTTTAACTAAAAATTTAAAAAAATATTAACATAAGATTGTTACAATAATTTATTATTTTCAAAATGTTATTATTTGTAAAATAAAGAATAAAAACTACAAGGACCTAATTAAAAACAAAGTAAAACAATAAGGACCTGATAAAAAGAAAAAAAATTATAAGGACTTGATTAAAAATATATGAAAGTATAAGGATCTGATAAAAAGAAAAAAAATTATAGGGACCTGATTAAAAATCAGTTGAAACTATAAGGACTTATACATTAATTATCCCTTTTGTCTATAACCATACGAAGGACCATTTTATATGTTGTCTAATAGCCTTCGGTGTCGTAAATTATGGTATGTTTTTGGTCGAGTTTCACGCACTATGGTATATAAAATCGTGGATTTGTATTCTAATATGGAGATCCCCTCGAGCTTTGAAAACAAGCTTTTTGAATATTAAGGGGCGGAGAGGAAACAAGAAAGACGCTAAAACCGAGCACGGTAGGTTGTGATGGAAGCAGAGACTGGAAAACCTTTTACCTTGTCCCTGTGGTCTGGGATTCAACGTTTGGATGTTGAATTGGCGTTGGAGATAAGAAGAGGCGGGAAATTTTGCTTTGAATGTCCTTAAGAAAAGAGTAGTATTGAATCGGTGGTCTCCAACAAAACGCTGCCACGTGCACACGAAATCATACGTTGCTTTGCTTTTCCTTCTGTCTTTCAACTTTTCAAGACCGTGGTTTAGACTTTCAACGGTTACTAACCTTTCATTTTTCTTTTAAAAGGAAGGAGAAAAGACGAGAGAACATTTTTCTCAATTTATAATTATAATAAATGAAAAAAAAATGGGGGGAACTTTTTTATTGTTTCCCGGACTTTCTATAAAAATAACAAAATTTTGAATATTCCAATCAGCCGAAGAATAGCTGCTTTTCAACACGCTCTCATGAAACCTTGGTCTTTTATGATTGATTTTGTTGTCTATGAAGAGCCTCATTCTCCTCTCCATATACTCGTTTGGTAATAAATATAAAACTTATTTTATATTATAATAAATATGAGATTTATTTTGTAGTATAAATTCTAAAGAACCCATTTAAGAAAAGGAAAATTCTAACTAAATCCGGTTAAAATATCAAAATTCTGATTAAAGCCTATACTTTTAACAAATTCCTAATTAAGTCAAGAGGTCTTGTTAGGGATTTTTGAATATTGTTAAAAGACTAAAATACCCATTTAAAGTAGCAAATTGGTAACTGGTCCAATCAATTTATGATCTAAATTCTTTTTTTTTTAGATGTTGTTAGATGAACCATCGACTTTACATGTTCTTACTCTATATGTTGTTAAAAGAGTAAAATATATATATTTTTTGTATAAATTTATATTAAGAAGTTCATATTACTCCATCTGTCCCATGAAATGTTAGAAAAGTTATTTAGATTTCTAATACAAACTCATATTAATTATTAGTAAGAATTTTAGCAATAAGACTATAAGATATAACATGATGAGAACATCTATATGGTAGATATAACAAAGCACTCAAGAAAATGACAAATTTGATGCCGAAATATACTAATACATTAAGATTCTAATTTTTCAACTATAAGGAAAAAAAATTTCTTTTAAAAATTATTAATTTAATGGCATTGAAATCAAATAATTAAAAGGTCCTATTCCCACTACCCAAAAGAAAAGTCCTCATTTCCATAAATTTCTTATCAATATATTGGAATTAGTATAAAATATTATATTATGCTTTGTCAATATTTTGCTCTTAGTATTTTCAAATTTTTTCATGTAAAACATTTTGTATAAATAAATACTATATAATGTAAAATTTCATGGTTTAAATTTTTTTTCAAAATAACATTATTTTAAATCATAAAAGCATATTTTAGTCTTTTAATAATATTTAAAAATTCCTAATAAGACCTATTAACCTAATTAGAAATTTGTTAAAAATATTAGTCTTAATTTGTGTTTTGATATTTTAACAGGATTTAATCAGGATCTCCCCTATTCTGAGGACAAAGAGGCATGAACCGTTACAAAACTTGAGTTTCAGCATCAATCAGATGTCGTCCTCCCCCTTCGGCTTCAGTACGGGTCGGATATATTCAAAGTATATATATATAACTAAATAATTTAAATATTAATAATAAGTATATCAGAATAATTTATTTTTTATGAAACTGAGTAATATATATATATATTCAAAATATATACATTGCATGCATTGATATATCTAGAACTCTTCAAAAACAAAAAACAAGGGGTATTTTTGTCATTGTTCATTGAATTTCAAAATACTACTTGAAGTTTATTTTCTTCTCTATCATTTTGAAGTGTTAGGTGCATGAATTGAAATTTTATATATTCAAGACTTTTTATATATCATTTTCCTAAAAATACATCAAAAAAATGTGTTTTTTTTGTTGGCAGTCTCAGTATTGGCTAAATCATGATATACAAATAGTCTCTCAAATACCGTGCGATATAAAACTTCTGGCCTGTTCTAGGTTTCTTGGGTTGGCCTCAAACCTGGACAAATGAATAGAGGTTTAATTTATTTAATCATGAAATGTTAAGTCAGAAAATTATGGTTTATAATAAAAAGATAAATTGTTTAAGCAGTAAATAACGCTGTTGGAATTCAACCTTTTTTTTTCCCGGCTGTGACATACGTTTCTATCACATTCCACACTTTTCGTCTATTTTTTTCCCGGACTTGTTTTGTACTACTTCCGATCCTTAATATAAGACCTCGTCAAACTTTTATTTTAATCTTAAATATAAGACTCCAATCCACTTTATCTTTTATATTTATATATATTTTTTCAAGGTAGTCCTTCTAATAGTGATAATTCTAACCAATACACTTGATTAGTATGGATATTTTAGGAAAGACAATACCTATTTATTACAAATAACTAGCTTAATTTATTTCCTTAATCTCCTCAAATTAGTCAATTAGCTTTTTTAATTAGGATCGGGGGTAGTAGTTTAATTGACAGTGAATGAATCAAATTATTTATGATCCCATGCACACATTATCATCAGTTTAGTGTATATTTCTTCAGTCAATAAAATAGAAATATTTTCTGAAACCGACTTATATTGTACTATATCTGTGAGTCTGGTTATAAGAAAGATGATAAACAGTATAAACGTGATAATGCGCAGGGCGTTTTGTTAAAATTTTTATGTTGTGCATAGACTAGAACTGTTTTTTTCGTATATGTGAATCAGAATATGTCCATATATGCAACTGGAACGAGATGGTGCTGGTCCCAATTACTATACGTGCATGCGAGATTCAATACAAGTGAATTAATAAATGAGTACTAAGGGCATAAATTAAATCAATACAAAATAAATGAGAGAAAACGACATAAAATTACATTTTTGGGTTTTAAAGTGAGGGGAAGCCACAGAAAAACAACTGCCCTACCCTCCGTGGTGTAACTGTTCCAAAAGCCGGTGATAACAGTATGACTTTATCAGTATGCTTGACTACGTCAATCTGTTTAATGACTATGTACAGTACTTTTTCATTTAATAACTATGTACAAGTCCTATCATGCTTGTTTACTTAGTTGTTACGCGTGCAACAACGTATATTTATTTGTAATTGAGTGCGTGAAGTTAAACGCTGCCACGTGTACACTTTCAACTGTTTAATTCAATAATTTGAATAGTTTATATTTTATCGGAATGATTTAAATTTTTCTTGCTTAAATGCAAAGTGCCACTAATTTTTCAAACCATAGCTGAGAATTATATTTATCTGTGGAAGAGAAGGTTTTTTTTTTTTTTTGATACAAGGAAGAGAAGGTTTTATTAAGGAAACTTAAAACCTTAAAAGAACAGACTTCAGGAGAGCCCACGATCGAGGCCCAAGTTCAGATTTAAAACACCCATGACGCATGCCGAGTACGGATAGACAACACATGACCTGTTTCTTTAAGACTTCATGGGTCACTCTGGTTCATTAGCCGACGTGGGTCCAATTTCACGATCAATGCCAGTGTTTTGACATCAACTAGCTAGGAAGTTAGTTTAATTAGTGAGGAGTCGGTTCATAATTTATAACATTGTGAATTCGAATCCCATTATCGACATAAATATTGAACTGATCCGTTAAAAAAAAAAAAAGATAGCTGATCAAGAAAAGCTTATCATACAATGCCGTGGTATGGGAGCGCACCCTGATCTGATCGGTGATCTCATAACATGACAGTGCTGCATTTATAATCTGGAATTAATGATCTGATTTATTGCTGGAGTTGTTAGTGAGGCTGGTGGACAAGAGTGAAAGAGGGCTGTACTAGTACTAGCAGGCTTTGTA